GCCTCACCTATTTCCTATTGCTGGTAAAAGGATTGCTGATGGGCTCTCCAACATTTTGCTTCAAGATCTTTCCTTTTCCAGGGGATGTTTGTGAGTCTCTTCCCCATCCGTCTCGTCAGTCAGCTGTTTATAGTCTCCTGCATGTGCCCCTTGATATTCACTTTACTGCTTTGCATATCACTGGTTCAATAAAGGAATTGAAAGGCATCAGCAGTTGTCAAACACAGAAATGAAGTAGACTTACTACTTTGGATTTGGTTTGTCCTTGGCTTCCCTCACAGCAATGCAGTCCTCATACATTGTCAGTGGCTACTTTTCTTCTATCCTCATTCCTTTACACATTATCAGTGCCAATGAGGAAAAAAACCCTGACAAAGTATACCTTTTTCAGTTGCGCCTCTTTTCCTTGGTCTTAAGCAACAGCCTCTTCCACAAGACAGTCTATCTGCAGTCTGCTCTGAACAGCTCAACCTCAGCAGAGATATTCCCTTTACCACATCCATCTCCTGCCAAACTGGAGGCTGCCAGTGACCACTGACTTACCTGCCATCTACGAGGAATGGATGGGACTTTTCTTCCTGCTGTCCTCCCTTAACCAGGGAAGGCAGGACTCACTCTGCCAAGGGTGCTTTGTACATTCCGTTTTCCCTGAGGAATTGAGATTTGTCTCAGGCACATTTAGGCAGAATTTCCCTGACACCAGTGTACAGACTTTTAGCACCACAGTACTTTAAAACAAATGAAAAGCTTGTGGTCTAAAAGGACTGCAGTTATACTGAGTCACTGTATCGAAAGGAATTCACAGACAGAGAAGAATTTCATGAAACAACATATAAGTAAGAGCCTATGGTGATGAAGGAAGAAGTTCAGGTTGCTTTGAAGGAAATGGCAAAAAATAAGGCCCCAGGAAAAATGGTATACCATTTGACATATTTCAGCTAACAGATGTGCTCACTAAGTTGTGCCAAGAAATCTAGAGAAAAACCTCTTTGCCAACTGACTGGAAGAGATTTATTTGTCCCCATCCCAAAGAAAGGTGACCCAATAGAGTGCGGAAACTATAGAACAATATCATTGATTTCAGATGCAAGCAAGATTCTATTGAAGATTATCCAAAAATGACTGGAACAGCACAACAGCAGAGAACTGCCTGAAGTCCAGGCTGGGTTTAGAAGGGGTCGTGGTACTAGGGATATTATAGCTAATGTTAGATGGATCTTAGTTGAAAGCAGGGAATACCAGAGG